CTATATGCATTTCAGTTTCTGAGACCATGAGATAGATAAGATAAAATAGCATATTCAGAAGTATGATCAGTCTGGTGTGGTGGCTCACACCTGTTATTCCAGCACTTTGGCACTGTGGGCAGAAGTTAAGGTCATACTAAGCTACACAGTGAGTTTGAAGTCAGTATGAGCCACATGAGACCTGCTTCAAAAGAGAATCTTGTTTCCGCAACAGCAATTTGCCCACATATCACAGCTGGGATCGTAAATTAGCACCCTAGCACTATGCAAGCTGGCATTTCTCACTTGAAACTATTTATCAGGGTGTTTGCTTGCATATGCATTTTAATATTAATATTTTTCCTTATTTTTGAAACATGCTTTCACTGTATAGTCCAGGCTGGCCTTGACTATTGTTCACCAGGCTAGTCTTGAAACCCTGACTGAGGACAAGTAATCCTTCCACTCTCTGCTGCCATAGTAGCTGGGACTACAGCAAATGCCACCACATCTAGCTCTCTGTGAGCTCATTAAAGAAGCCTTACAATAAATACAGAAAGTTTTTTGGTTTTTTTTTTTTGGACTTTTCGAGACAGGGCCTCTCTGTAGCCCCAGCTGTCCTGAAACTCACTATGTAGACCAGGCTGGCCTTGAACTCAGAGATCCGCCTGCCTCTGTGGACTAAAGGTGTGGGCCACCACGCCCAGCTGACAGTTACCTTTTCTTTCTGCCCCTAGTGTATATGTCCTTTTAAAAGATCTAGCATTGCCAGGGTGTGGTGGCACAGGCCTTTAATCCTAGCACTCAGGATGCAGAGGCAGGCAATCTCTGTGAGACTGAGGCCAGTCTGGTCTACATAGCAAGTTCTAGGCCAGTGGTGGCTACAGGGAGACCCTGTCTCAAAAAACAAAACTAAAACCACTAACAATAAAAAGATCTACCATGGGAGCCAGGAAGATGGTTCAGAGGGTAAAAGCACATGCTTGCCACCAAGTCAACAAACTGAGTTCAAAATCTGGGACCTACAAGGTAAAGGAGAGAACAGACTCCAACAAATTGTCTCTGAATTCCACCCATGAGCTATATAGGACGTGTGTTCCTGTACAAAACAAATAAATAAAATAAAAAACAACACTTTAAAAAATTTTTATTTTATGCGTATGAGTGTATTGCTTGCATGTATGTAAGTGCACCCATGTCGTGCAATGCCTGTGGAGGACAGAAGAGGCTGTTAGATCCCCTGGAACTGGAGTTACAGTTTTTAGCTGCCATGTGGGTGCTGGGATTCAAACCTGGGTCTTTTGCAAGAACAGCCAGTGTTCTTAACCGCTGAGCCATCTCTTCAGCCCCATAAAATACTTTTAAAAAAGATCAAGGCTGGAAAGATGGCTAGATGGTTAAGAGTGCTTACTGCTCTTCCAGGGGACTTGAGTTTGGTTCCCAGCACTCATGATAAGCAACTCCTAAGTACCTGTATTTCCAGCTCCAGGATATCCAACAGCCTTTTTTGACCTCCCTGGGTACCCCCACATATGTGGCACACACACACATACTGACACATACACATAAATAAAAATAACTCTTAAAAAAAATTCTAGTATGGAAGGAAAACGTTTCATCTGTTTACTTTATCATTAAGAAGAATTAAAGCAGCAGTTTCTAAGTTTGTAAGCAACCTTTTGAACCTCTTGGGGTTTCCCCAGATCAAAACTATTTTCACGAGGGCTGGAGAGATGGTTCAGTGTGTTAAGAGTTCTGGTTGCCCTTACAGAGTACCCACATGGTGGTTAACTGGCTGTAATTCCAGTTCAAGGGGCTCCAATGCCCTCTTCTGGCCTCCACAGGCACTGCATGCATGTGGCCTACCTACATATATGCAGGCAAAACACTCATAAACATTAAAAAAATATTTTCACCCTCTCCCAAATATTTTCGCAATAATAAGAGACTACACCCCCAATACCTTTCTTTCTTTCTTTTTTTTTTTTTGAGACATGGTTGCCATGTACCCCCGGGTTGGCCTGGAACTCACCAGACCAGGCTGGCCTCTACCTCAACCTGCTGGGATTAAAGATGTGCTATTTTCCCTTTTGATGTCATTATTTTAAAAGTGTAAGTGGAGCCTGGCATGGAGGCACATACCTTTAATCCCAACACTCGGGAGGCACAGGCAAATCAATGAAATCAATACCACTCTTCTCAATTTTTTTTTTTGAATTGTTAATTTCATAAACAAAAGTCCTTTAGGGATCTTTATTTTTTATTTATTATTTTTATTTTATGTGTATGCGTGTACTGCCTGCTTGTAGGTAAGTGCACCCATGTCGTGCAATGCCAACGGAGGTTAGACCTGGGACTGGAGTTACAGACAATTGTTAGCTGCCATGTGGGTGCTGGGATTCGAACCTGGGTCTTCTGCAAGAACAGCCAGTGTTCTTAACTGCTGAGCCATCTCTCCAGCCCCAAGGAATCTTTATTTTTAAATATGTTACTGGCTGTGGTGGCCAAGTCTTTAATCCAAGTACTAGGGAGGCAGAGGTATGCATCCAGATCTCTGTTCTTAGAAGTCTACAAAGCTAGTTCCAGGTAAGCAAGAGCTACATACTGAGAACCTGTCTTAAAATAATGTGTGTGTGTGTGTGTGTGTGTGTGTGTGTGTGTGTGTATGTGAAAGGATTCCAAGACCCAAAAATTTGAGAACTGCTGAACAAATTCAAAGTCCTGCTGAATAATCTATATTGGGATTCCCAAACTTCTGCTCAGTCTTCATAAAGTCATCACCCTATGTCCGGATCTGTTCATAATCATATGGAGTCAAAACTCATGGAATACAAACTGTACCCCAAAATGTGCTAAAAAGTCTCCCTTGAATGCATTATTTTGTTCTTTTGGGTAGTATGAAGTTTTTCTTACTTGGGGAAAGAGTGGTCTTTCATCTCTTTTCTTTTTGAGGCACTCTGCCATTAATCTCTTCATGGCTTTTGGACAGTTACTCCGTACCTTACTGAGATCTGGAGATAGGTATCCTCGTCCCACCATAAAAATTATCTGGAGGGAAATATAAAGGCAAATCATATAATCTTATTAATAATTTCAAATACAAAAGCAATGAAAATTCAATAAACTGTATTTACAGTATGGGCACTTATATGTGTATTAAACTTTGATAAACTAAAAAACAGGTAGTATTTGGATTCCTAACATATCACAGAATGTTCGGAAACCATATTCAAAGAGCTGCAAGCTCACATCTTCATGACCCCAGGACAATGGCAAGTTCTCCTAACTGCACCCTGTATACCTGTCTCTGCCTACCTCGTAGTGTTTCCACTGACAGGATACATGCCCTAAAACAGTGTTGACAGTGCTTTTTCTTTTTCTTAAAAAATAAAAAAGTTGAATACTTTTTATTGTTTAGTATTATGGTAAGTCCTTTATACATGTGCAGTAGGAAACAAAAACGTTAACCATTTATATCCGTCATTTTGGCATATACATCTAAAGCCCCTTTGTTGTAGAAAGTTCCCTGGGGCATTCAGCTACAGGATCAGAACCAGTCTCCTCCAAAGGGTGGAGGGCCAAGACAGGAGGAGCTGTTTGGTAAGGAAAAAGGCTTGTCTTGACTGAAGAGTTACAACTTTTCTAATTTCTTAACGTAAATTTTTGGCTCTTTTGAGGACTGCCAGAGATAGATACTTAAAAATTTGGTTCTCAGGGAAGAACGTCTGAGAGAAGGTTTTGAGAGGAGCAGATTAGAGGCTAGCATGGGGAACCTCCATTTGATTCTTGGCAGAGCTGATGAGTTTTATAAAGTGTCTTATCTGTTAAGTTATTTCCTATTTAATACCATTAACAACCCTTGTTTAGTACCCTGGAGCAAAGTTTGATTTTCAACATAGTCTCTGTGGTACAGGTTAAGGAGAATGAACTTGGGAAGAGATATCAAGGACAGTAGTTTCTCTCCACAGTACCCCTTTCTGAAGCAATCATAGTTATGTTAATGGTGGGAGCTCCCTCAGAATTTTAGATCAACCTGGAATATTCTGGAGCAAAAGGTACTACTTTTTTAAAAAAAAAAAGGCCTTCAAAGTTAAGGGGAAGAGTCTGGAATGTCATTTACACAAGGTTCAGATATGCTTACTCAGCTACTCATGGAAAAGGTAGCCCTCAAAGGCAGAACAACTTTGGTACATTTGGACTATTATCTATCTAATTTAGTATACAAAATAATTCTACAAGGTGTAGGTATTAACCCCACTCTATAGATCAGGTATGCAATGTTCAAACAAACCAAGGGACTTGCCCAAAATAATACAGCTAAGAAAGTAACAAAGAGGAACTTGAAGAAGACCATCCCAATTACAAATAAGCTTTTAACAACATTTTTATGACCTTGGCTCCTGCTCTGCTCTGATGTTTAATTTTCGTATATTTTATTTAAATTCTGTAATGAGACTATGGGTCCTTGGAGGATAGGTACTCTGTGTGTGTGTGTGTGTGTGTGTGTACTTTTTCTTTCTATTAAAACAATCTAGGGGCTGGAGAGATGGCTGAAGTGGTTAAAAAAACACCTGCAGACGACTGGAGTTCTGATCCCAGCATCCATGTTGGGTGGCTCACAATCACCTGTGAATCCAGCTCCAAGAGGATCTGACATCCTCTTTTGGCCTCTGTGGGCATTTGTACAGACATGCAAAAAGACACATAATAAATGATAGATCTTTGTCAAAGTTAACAAATCATTAGGGTGAATGATAAATTTTTGCTTGATTAACTTCCATATATCTATAGTCTTCAAATTAAGATAAAGTATTAAGGGGTTTCAAGAAGGCTACCAGAGGTATACACAGTCATGGTGGTTTCAAGGGAATCACTTTTTTTTTTGATGGATGTAACTGATAATCAAATTTATTATTTATTTATTAATATAACAAAAATCCACCCCTTCCCACTTAGCTACACAGCCCCAGACCTTGTTTTTTGTTTTCAAAATATTTTTATTTATTATTTTAATTTTGTGTATGAGTGTATTGCCTGCATGTACGGGAGTGCACCCGTGTCGTGCAATGCCGCGGAGGTCAGAAGAGGCTTCGGATTCCCCTGGAACTGGAGTTAGGGACCGTTCATAGCTGCCACGTGGGTGCTGGGAACTGAACCCGGGTCCTCTGCAAGAGCAGTCAGTGCTCTAAACTGCTGAGCCATTTCTCCAGCCCTGAAATATTTTATTTATTTTTATTTTATGTATATGAGTGTACTGCTTGCATGTATGTAAATGTACCCGTATTATGTAATGCCCATGGTCAGAAGAGGGCATCGAATCCCCTGAAACCAGTGTTATGGACAGTTATTAGCCACCATGTGGGTCCTCTGCAAGAGCAAGCAGTGCTCTTTACTGCTTTACCATCTCTCTAGCCCCCACATTCAATTCTTTTTTTAAACTAAGATTCCACTCCTTTTTTAACTTCAACAACACCTAACTGCTTTCATACAGCAAGGAAATTAAGTTAGTAACTCAAAGTCACAAACTGACCACTAGCTCCTCAAGTAGCTTAACCCATTTTGCCTTTCAACCACTATTACAAACATATGTAATCATGCAGTCACAATTACAATGATGGTAATTTTCCTAAGAAGTCCTAAGCAAACTCTTCTTACTACCCACAATTCAACCAAATTATTACTGGGTCACTGGGACTTGAAAATAGCCCAAACATGAGCAGATGGATTTGTCAGCTGATAAGACAGAGTGTGCTGTCCTAGGGACACATGTGAATGGCTGGTGTTCTCACTGTGACCACAGAATCAACAGACCAACACAAAATCTTGCTACTTGGAAAAATTGTTGAATTACAGTTAGATCATTGCATAGTATCCAGAGAATTATAACTAACCACCAGCATTCTGTTAAGCAGCCTGAATGACTGAGTTCAATACTTACAGTTCCCATAGGTAACTATTCTCAATTGACCCAAATAAACCAATTTACTGGCTCAATAGAGACTATAATGAAACAAAGGCATCTAATAGAAATGAAGAAACATGAAATAATTCAGACACTTTAACATGTGAAACAAGAATTTCTGAAAATCTAACCAGTTTCAATAGGTTAAATAACTTTAGTTCCAAAACCTATTATGCAGGCTTCTGGGAATCACTTTTTAATTGCTGCTGGGAGAACTTCTCTATAACCCTTTTAAAAAATTGACTTGCTTAATCCTGGCACTTGGGAGGCAGAGGCAGACAGATCTCTGTGAGTTCAGGCAGGGAGACCCTGTCTCAAAAAAAAAAAGACCAAAAAAAGAGAAAAATTGACTTGCCAAAGAACCACTTGGGTGAATGTGTAAAGGCTCTATGTATTGTAACATATTATTGCTGGGTGAATTTAGCACTAAATATAACTCTTGGGAGAACATAACTGGAAGCTCCACATGGGAAACTTCCTTGGACACTGCCTCATTGGTTTCTTTCCTTGACTGACTTTAATCTATTTTCTTTCACTGTAATAAACTATAACTGTTGAGCAAATAGCCTTTAGTGAATTTTCAGTGAGTCCTTTTGGTCTTGGGGAACCATGAAACTCTGCATATGGTGTGCCGGATAGCTTTGGTGTCAACTTGACTCACATGGGTTGAGGGAGCCTCAATTGAGGAATTGCCTTCATTGGACTGGCCTGTGGCCATGTCCATGAGGCATCTTCTTGACTGTTGAGTGATATGGGAGGGCCCAGCCCACTGTGGGTGGTACCACCCCTGGGCAGGTGGGCCTGTGTTGCATAAGAAAGCAGGCTGAGCAGGGGCCAGGGGAGCAAGCCAGTAAGCAGTGTTCCTCCATGGCCTGTGCTCCAGCTCCTGCCTCTAGGTTTCTGCCCTGAGTTCCTATCTTGGGCTCCCTGATGAACTCTGACCTGGGAGATGTAAGCTGAATAAACCCTTTCCTCCCCAAGTTGGTAGTGGTCAGAGTGTTTTGTTACAGCAACGGAGAAACAAACTAGGACATATGGCTATAACAAAACTCCTACATTTCCCATCAACTTAATTCTTGAGTAAGATAGAGCCGGGTGTGGTGGAACACGCCTCTGGTCCCAGCACTTGAGAGGCAGAGGCATTTGGATCTCTGTGAGTTCAAGGCCAGTCTTGTCTACATGGAGAGTTCCAGGCCAGCTGGGGCTACAGGGAGACCCTGTCTAGAAAAGATCAAAAAAACAAAACAAAATACTTGAGTAAGATTTCTCAGTATTTACTGCTATATTTAGCAAGGAAAAGACTAATACTAAGCCCTAACTCATTCTAGCAGGGAAAAAAAAAATGTATTTACCCACAGATAGATGAATTGAAGAGAAAATTGCCATGTTCATTAAGATATGTATTTCTGGGGCAGGAGGGGAAAATAGCTCAGCTGGTAAAGTGCTTGCTGGGCAAGAATGAAGAACTTGAGTTTGATATCCAGTACCCACATAAAAATGCTGGCATGCACTTGTAATCCCAGTGTTGTAGAACTATAGACAGTGGATTCCTTGGGCTCATTGGCCAGCCAGCTTAGCTTAACTGGTGAGCTCCAGGCCAACAACAGACCTCATCTCAACAATAAGGTGAACAGCATATGAAGAATGATACATAAGGTTGTTTCTAGCCTCCATATGTACCTTTAATACACACATAAACCTGCACCGACACATGCACGTGCACACACACACACACACCCACACACACGCAGCATGCACATGAAAATATAGACACTTTTGCTAAACACTGTGTGGTATGCCTGTAACCCCAGTGTTTGAGAGCTAGAGGCAAGAGAGTGACAAGTTCAAGGTCAGCCTGGGCTATACAGCCAGACTTAATCTCGCAAAAACACACAAAAAACCCCACATTATTTCCAACATAAATTTTACCTTTTATTTATCAAAATTTGTTATATATTAAAAACCGCAACAATGGCAGACTCAGAATTTAAAGTCACAGGAAATTTTTTGAGACCTCCAAATTATAATGAGTAATAAAATACATTTAACAATCTCAAGTATAGCCAGGTATAATCATGTTCACTTTTAATTCTAGCACTCAGGAGGCAGAGGCAAGGCAGGTGGACCTCTGTGAGTTCAAGGCCAGCATGGTCTACATAGTTATACTCATACATACACTCATACACATAAATGAAAAGTATGTTATATTAGGACAGAATTCTGTTAAGGGGAATAGAATACCACAAATAATTGGAAGAGAAAAAAGAAATCTTATCAAACTTCTTAAAAAAAAAATCAATGTAGAACATATATTTCATACATTTTTTTTCTTTCCCTTCCATCCTCCCTCCCTTCTTCCTTCCCTCTCCCTCTTCCCCCCTTTTTTCCTACTTTTTTGGAGACAAGAGTCTCCCCTGTAGCCCCAGCTGTCCTGCAACTTACAATGTAGACCAGGCTGTCCTCTATCTCACAGAGATCCAACTGTCTCTGCCTCCTGAGTGCTGGGATTAAAGGCATGTGCCACCATGCCAGGCTCTAGAATCTCTATTTTTAAAAATATTTATGCCAGGTGAAGCAGAGGCAGGCGAATCTCTGTGAGTTCAAGGCCAGCCTGATCTACATAGTGAGTTCTAGGACAGCTGGGGCTATAGGGAGACCCTGTCACAAAAAGACAAAAAAAAATCATTTATTTTTTAAAATTTACTTCATTTTTATTTTATGTGTGTGTTTTACCTGCATGTATGTAAGTACATCATGAGTGTGCAATACCACGGTGCAATGGATCACCTGAAACTAGAGTTAAGGACAATTGTTAGCCACTATGTGGGTGCTGGGAACTGAACCAGGGTCCTCTGCCAGAGCAGCTAGTATGCTTAAATGCTGAGCTATCCCTCCAGCCCCTATATATTTTATTCTGTGTGTGTGTGTGTGTATGTTTAGATACATACATTTGAGTGCAGCTGCCCTCAGAGGCCGGAAGAGGATGCTGGATCCCCTGGAGCTGGAGTTATAGGTGGTTGTAAGCCACCCATTTTAGCTGCTCTTAACTGCTGAGTCATCTCTCCAACCCCTGGAATCTGTTTTTTTAAGCAGTCTTCTAGGTGGTTAGAATGCAAACCACATCATACAGTGTAAATATTCTTTAATCACTGCTTACAAGGTTAACTGTTTTCTAATAAACAGTTTAATTGCCATACTCTGCCCTTCACATAGGTATTCACACACACTTTTTAAAAACAGTGAGGTATAGAGTCCGGGCGTGGTGGCGCACGCCTTTAATACTTTAATCCCAGCACTTGGGAGGCAGAGGCAGGTGGATCTCTGTGAGTTCAAGTTCAAGGCCAGCCTGGTCTACATAGTGAGTTCCAGGACAGCTGGGGCTACAGGGAGATGCTGTCTCAAAAAGACCAAAAAAAAAAGTGAGGTATCCAAGATAATTTTAGTAAAGACAATTCACTTTTTGGTTAAGTAAACTGGGCTTAGTGGCACACAACTGTAATCCTGGAATTCTGGAGGTGAAGGCAGGAAGACTGAGATCTCAAGGTCTGCCTGGATTACATAATAAACTGTTTAAAGGAAAAGAGGAGGAGAAGGTAGTTAGGGGGAAGAAAGGGAAGCAAGAAAAACCCAAATGAATTTATTGTGAAAACACAAAGAGCTATGTGAAGTTATACTGGCACCTTTTCGAAGGAACAGAATGGAGAACAGGAACTTACTAAAGGAAGAAGTAAAATTTACCTTCCTGCTAGAATTTTCATTATAGAAAAATCAGAGCATGATGTAACATCCATTTCATACTTTCTCCCCACTTTGTATGTCTGTGTGCATATGTGTGTGCATGTGTGTGTGTATACTAGTGTATGCAGGCACATGTGAAGACCAACAGCTGACATCAGGAGGTCTTCCTCAATCACTTCTCCACCTTATTTTTTTTAGACAGACCGAATCTGGAACCCACTGTTTCAGCTAAACTGGTTGGAAACTGTGCTTTTTGGGATCTACTTGGTTTCTCCCTCCAGCATTAGGATTACAGGCATGGCCACACCTGGCTTTTTATATGGGTCCAAACTCAGGTCTTCATGTTTACACAGTGAGTTCTTTATCCACTAAGCCATTATCCCAATCCCTCATGCTTTTTTAAAAAGACCTCTTAATTCTAGAAGAATTTGAAAGAAAAATGTTGTATGCTACTCTGACAGCACACAATCTATGACAGCCAAAGGATGGAAGTTACGTGTGATCAGAGCAGAACTCATTCTTTTAACTTTCTATGGCTAAGAGACATGAGGTATTACCCATTGCTATATTTTTATTTTCTAGTAACAAAATTGGGGATTTCATTCCATTCTAACATTTAAGACCAACATTTCAAGGAAAAGCTATATATACTATTATAATTATCAAAAGTACACAAAAGATTTTTAAAACTGATTATAAAGATCAAGAGATCTCTCTTTCATGCTTACCTAGGCCTCTGTACTTCCTTCTGATAAGTAACTGGAGCTTTAACAGATACTAAAATAACCTCATAGAAAAGGCAAATATTTACCTGATCCCTGTTGTTGATGTTTGAATAAGGTAGCTGGCCAGTCATCAGTTCGTACAGAACAATCCCAAAGGCATATACATCTGACTGAAAGCTATATGGGTTTTTATCTTGCATCCTGATTACTTCTGGTGCCTGTAAGAATTTAAGAAGAAAAATTTATTCTTTAGTTCAATTGAAAAAAGACTGAAGTACAATCTATGATAATTCCTAGAGCAACATTTATTTTTAAAAATTCCATCTATTAATGCTGTGCCTAGTGATTCATGCTTTTAATCCCAGCACTTGGGAGGCAGAGGCAAGCAGATCTCTGGGAGTTCAAAGCCACTTGGTCTACAAAACAAGTTTCAGGCTTGCCAGTGTTACATAGTGGGACCCTGCCCACCCCCCTCAAAAAAATCTATCTACTATGCAATTCTCTTAAAGGAATAAAACTCATTAAGAAAGATGAGAAAAGATCCCAAGATCCCAACAACCCTGCTTTATAAATTCTGAAAGAGGTGGTTTTAGCTAAGATTCCATAATTCTATAACTCAGTACTAAGATTTTATAATTTTATCAGCTATCATTTTTATGAACAAAACACTATTGTTAACATCTAATCATGTTCCAAGACTATCACATCAGAATTAGTTCTCATTTTCCATTCTTGATTAGCAAAGAAATACTGGACCAGTGGTTAAAAATGTCTTGGGAGCAGGCACAGTAATTAAGTTTTTTTCACTAGTGTAAATGATTTTCCTCAACTCAGGGAACCTTAATAACGGTAGAATTTTAAGGGTGATAAATTCAAATCCCCTTCCAATCCATGCTATAAACATGAATTATATAAAAAAAGCTTTATTAACAAAAGTAACAGACAGCAGGCTGATTTATTAGAAAAATTGCATAAGGAATCTTTTAGTTGCTGCTTGTTCCAAATCATATTTTTTGTAACATACTTTAGCTGTGAAACTAAACTTCTCTTTTTTTGGTCTTTTTGAGACAGGGTCTCCCTGTAGTCCTAGCTGGTTTGGAACTCGCTATGTAGATCAGGCTGGACTCGAACTCACAGAGATGTGCTTGCCTCTGCTTCCCAAGTGCTGGGATTAAAGACACAAGCCACCACACCTGGGTTAACAAGGATTAAAAAAAATATTTTATTATTTTTACACATATGCACATTCTGTCTGCACGTATGTAAGTGCACCTGTGTCGTGCAAAGCTGCAGAGTCAGAAGATGGTATCAGAGTCCCTGGAACTGGAGTTATGGACAGTTGTTGCCATGTGGGTGCTGGGAATCAAACCTGGGTCCTTTGGAATAGCAAACGTTGTTAACTGCTGAGCCATCTCTCCAGCCCCGAAACTGAACTTCTACATGAAATACAGTCAATGACTGGTTAAGAATGAACAGATTTACCTTGCATCTCCTGCACTGTTTCTTTAGGAAGAAATTGGCAAGGGTATCAATGAAACTAAGGACAAAACTAGTTGAAAGACAAGGTTCCTGGTTCCTGGTTTGGGCAAGCCAGGTATATTGTGAGAAGTAACAGTGCTCAACTAAAGCTGCAAATCAACTAAAGGTGCAAATCAGAACTGCCTGTGGAGCCTATAAACTTCTCAGTGCCAGCTATACTTCACCTCAGTGACAACATCAGAGGCTAGGGATGGGACCCTTCATTACTAGTCTTTAAAGCTCCATAAATGATTCTAATGTCCACCCAAGTTGAGAAACACTGATAGAAGATCTGTGGGAAAACCTGACCAGGGCCAAAGGATAGGAGTGCAGGGAAGGGGAAGGACGGGCTTATCTACTTGCTGTTGTCATCTATTCTATTGACAGCTGCCTTTTTAGCACAAGATAAACCACATGCATCTGTGATTAAATGAAGTCAGAAGACAGGGAAGCTGTTTAAATATAAAGACAGATTTTTTGTTTTTTGGTCTTTTTGAGACAGGGTGTCCCTCTAGCCCCAGCTGGCCTGGAACTCAGTATGTAGACCAGGCTGGCCTCCATCTCAGAGATCTGCCTATCTTCTTCTGCTGACTCTGGAATGAAAGGCATGTGCCACCATGCCTGGCTGTTTTCAGTCTTTAAAAAAATTATTGATCCTACAGAGCTTTTGTTTATGTGAACTACATCTGTGAACATTTATATTAAAACTTAACTATTATCTGTTAATTCATTTAAATATTAAAATAACTGCTAATTAACAGAAAATACCTACTTTTAATGAAAACTATTACAAAAACAAAGTTTAGTGACAATAGTATTGCAACTCTCTTTAGTATCTAGTTTAATAGCAGCCAGCTGGATTCTTGAATTAGCTTCTGCTCAATCTGTTTGTATGTTTGTTTTGATTGATAGGAGGAAAACTGGTCTCTCAAAAGGAAGACCTTATGGAACCATGTCTTTGGAAACCTCGTGAGAACCACTGTGAGGTCATAGCATGATTCCTCTAACTAGCTTTTCAACAGCCTGCAGCAGTAACTGTGCACAAAATTTAGTTTCCATCTTTTAGAACTTTTCTATGAAGCAGAAACTGGAATAAAGAGACAGATCTGTGCAAGAAGCACAAGGCTGGGTAAAATCCTCTTTTCTTTTGTCACTTCTCTTCTAGCTGCCCTATAATTATAAGGTTCTTTCGAGTCTGAAGGAGGTACATTTCCAACTCAGGCTAAAATAAGATTGTTGAAAAAAACCTCTCTGTTAAAAGAATAGTTTTCTTAAGGCCATAATTGCAGCATATCACACCTGCCTTAAATTACAAACCTATTTTTGTTTTTTTTTTTTAAAGTAGGGCATGGTCGGGTGTGGTGGCACATGCCTTTAGTCGCAGCACTCAGGAGGCAAAGGCAGCTGATCTCTGAGTTTGAGGCCAGTTTGGTCTACCTAGTGAGTTTCAGGATAGCTGGGGCTACAGGGAAACCCTGTCTCAAAATAGACAAAAAAGAAAAACAAACCGCCAACACCCCCTGTGCCAAAACCCACCAAATAAATAAAACAGGGTATATAGAACATTTACGAAGTTTTTTTTTTTTTTGGTCTTTTTGAGACAGGTCTCTCTGTAGCCCCAGCTGGCCTGGAACTCACTATGTAGACCAGGCTGGCCTTGAACTCACAGAGATCCACCTGCCTCTGCCTCCCAAGTACTACAATTTTCCAGAAAATTTAAGCATTTTACACATATAGTTTGAAATGTAGTGAAACTGGTTTTACAATATTCTTTTCAAAGATTAAGAAAAAAAGTCAAGACCTATTTAAAAAATAAGAACATTGATTCTTGTGAATAGTGAGAACCAATGACTTTCAAGTAACTCATCATCATCTTAGGATCCAAATTTTAATTAGTGAAGAAATAGCCTCGATTCTTACCATCCACAAGATGGATCCAGACAACTGTTCAAACTGATGGGACCCACTCCATCGAGATTTCACTGTGGCTAGACCAAAATCACCTATTTTTACCGTGAGGTCTTCATGAAGAAATATATCTGAGGTGTAGTAAAGGAAAAAATAGATCTCATTTCCCATTAGAGCAAGCATTTTGAAGATTTTAAGTAAAAGATCTAGTTTCTGTAAGTCTGTAGCAAGATTTCTCCTATCTCCCTCCCTCCAATCCCTTCACTTCCTCCCTCCCTTCCCTTCCCTTCCTTTCCTTTCTTTTTGTTTCTTTGACACAGGGTCTCACTATGTAGGCTGACCTGGAACTCTCTATGCAGAACAGGCTGGCCTTCTCTACCACCTGTCTCTGCATTCCTAAGTACTGGAATTTAAAGGTATGTGTCACAATGCCTGGCAAGATTTTTTTTTTAAAAACAGTACTCAAGTTTCCTCCTAAAGTCAATAAACATGTTTTAAACAATAATTAATTCTATTTAGCCTCTATGACCTGCTTTTAAGATTTCTTAGGCTTGGGGCTGGAGAGATGGCTCAGTAGTTAAGAGCGCTGGCTGCTCTTGCAGAGGACCTGGGTTTGACCCCCAGCACCCACATGACAGCTAACAACTGTCTGTAACTCCAGTTCCAGGGGAGATCTGATGCCCTCTTTTGACTTCCTTGGGCACTGCATGACACAGGTGCATCTACTTACATGCAGGCAATACACTCATACACACAAAAAATATAATGTTTAAAAAAAAATTAAAAAAAAAAGTTTTTTAGGCTTGAAATGTGTGAGAATGAAGTAAGCTGCTTTTCTAAGCCTATGGGACACCTGGAAACTTCCTCCCTTGATTTAGCCCAGATATCCTTTAACACTGTTGGTAAAGCTCTGAAGGATCTTTATTAGAATAAAGATGACATCAGAAAGGATCTTAGTCTGCCCTCAGGGAACAAGGAAAATTGTTTTTTCTCACCTCTCTGTTATATAATTTAGTCTTTGATTTCATATCTCAGCTATCACTGAGCAAGATTAAATTGTTGAAACAAACTAGTACCTACAAGACATCCATTTTATACTACAGATAAAATGTAAGCAAGCAAGCAAAAAGTCCTATTATAATAAAGACTTTCAACAGATTTTCTTACAGCACCCACTCAGAAACTAAAAGCAGGCTGTGTCCTGCTCTACTATACTCTCATGCAAACTGACTAATTTTCTTTACAGTATATTAAATTTAGCATGAAAAATTTTTTTTACATAACATGAAGACAAAATGCAGAAGAAAAAGTCAGGATGTTTTCAGACTTCGCAGACAAATTTCAGGAAGGATACTATTACTCTTGAGGTCTCTGTGGATGATTGACTTGGCGTGTAAGTAACTGAAAAACAAAACATTTTAACCTGAGTAAGACTAATGGACTCTGGCCTCAAAATCTATAACATATTTAGGGGTGTAAAGACTTACTTCAAATTGCGGTACAACTGAAATTGGTATACTGTGATAACCACTTTACATCATAATTGACAGTAAATAAATTTAGGATTACAGAAACATTACTATTATGTGCAGCCAAAATCTGGTTTTATATTAAGACTTTGCTTTACCTTTTATTAGTTACCAATACAAACCTTTCACTCAGTCAAGCCTATTTGTCCATGTCCTTGAAATATTTAATCCCACCTCTTTCAATGCTCTCCTCTTGTACCTATCTCCATATCAGCTTCCATTCTATTTCTACTTATTCATACACTAAAATGAACAAAAATTTTGTTTTTTATTTTGGTCTTTTTGAGACAGGGTCTCAAAATGGCCTCAAACTCACAAAGATCCTTCTGCCTCTGCCTCCCAAGTGCTGGGATTAAAGGTGTGCGCCACCACACCTGGTGAACAACAATTTTCTTAAGTGAAACTTTCCTATGAAGAACTCAATGGAAAGTGAAACTGTTTAATTTATGTAGTAATTATTATAACAGCTTGATTTGTCGTTTTTATTATTTTTTAAAATTTTTAAATTTTAATTAATTAATTAATTTTTGGTCTTTTTGAGACAGGGTCTCCCTGTAGCCCCAGCTATCCTGGAACTCACTATGTAGACCAGGCTGGCCTTGAACTCACAGAGATCCACCTGTTTCTGCCTCCCGAGTGCTGGGATTAAAGGTGTGCACCACCATGACCGGCTATGGTTTTTCTTTTTGATTTGTGGTTTGTCCCATGTACTTATGCTTGGCCTTTTGGCTAAGATGAAGCATAAATGGTATATTCTTTTTTTTTGGTCTTTTTGAGACAGGGTCTCCCAGTAGCCCCAGCTGTTCTGGAACTCACTATGTAGACCAGGCTGCCCTGGAACTCACAGAGATCTGCCTGCCTCTGCAGCCCCAGTGTTGGGATTAAAGGTGTGTACCACCACGCCCAGCTAAATGATATATTCTTAAAACTTACTAATACTAGAGTTGGGCATGGCTACACACGCCTTTAATCTCAGCACTCAGGAAGCAGAGGCAGGCAGACCTCTATGTAGCAAGTTCTAGGCCAGTTGGGGCTATAGGGAGAATCTGTCTCAAAAAAACAAAACAAAACAAAAAAATCCCCAAACAAAAAAACAAACAACACACACACACATACATACACACACACCATTTACTAATACTAGTAAGGAGCAAATTTCCTGTATAATGGCCATTGTGGATCTATTTTGAAGTCAATGATAAGTTTAAGTCACCTATGCTATCCTTAAAAACTGTTTTAGGCTTTATTTCCATTTATCCTTTCTTTTTGGTACAGGGCTCAGGATGTGTAATATATTCAATACATGGTGGTCATATCAACTACAAGAGATACATATAATACTCTAGGCAGGCTATTTCCAATACTGGAAAAAAGAGATACAAAAGAATTCTGAAATATAACAGTGACAATAAAAATCAAAATCAAACGATCAAAATCAAAATCTTTTCATAAACACTATTTAAAATAAGAGATTTACCAATAGTTCAGAATATTATTCACTTTTTCACTTTTTTTTGGTCTTTTAAAAATATTTTATTATTTCTATGTGTATAAGCATATTGCCTGCATGTGTGTAAGTGTACTTGTGATGAGCTATGCCTGAGGTCAGAAGAGGGTGTCAGATCCCATGCAACTGGAGTTACCAATGGTTGTTAGCTGTTATGTGGGTGTTGGGATAGGACTCAAACCTGGGTCTTCTGCAAGAACAGCCAGTGCTCTTAACTGCCCAGCCATCTCTCTAGCCCCCTGTCCCCCTTTTGACTTTTTGAGACAGGGTCTCCCTGTTGTCCCAGCTGGCTTGGAACTCGGTATGTAGACCAGGCTGACCTCCATCTCACAGAGATTTACCTGTCTCTACTTCCCTCACAGAGATTTACCTGTCTCTACTTCCCAAGTGCTGGGATTGAAGGTGTCCTGGCTTTCACTTTCTTAGCTTTATTTAATTTCTTTATTCATCTAGACATCAAGATTTGCAACTATTTTGGACAAAAATTTCATTTCAAACTACTTTATCCAATTACTTTCTCACCTTACTCTCACTACTTCTTTCACAACATTTATCACTATCTAAAGTTATCTTGTCATGGTTCTACTACATTACACTGTCATTTTTCCAGTGAAAGAAAATTTAGTATCAATTGGTTTTATTGGCTTTAAAAAAAAAAAAAGTCAGGTGTGGTAGCGCACGCCTTTAACCCCAGCACTCGAGAGGCATAGGCAGGCGGATCTCTGTGAGTTCAAGGCCAGCCTGGTCTACATAGTGGTTTCAGGTAAGCTGGGACTACAGGAAGACCCTGTCTCAAAAAGACAAAAAAAAAAAAAAAAAAAAAAAAAAAAAAGGTGTGTGTGTGTGCGCCACATGTTTAGGGGTTCTACAGAGGCCAGAAGGGGGTACTGGATCCCCTAAAGGTGGTTATGAGCTGCCTGATGTGAGCTAAGAATGGAACTCTGGTCCTCTGGAAAAGCAGTAAGAGCTCTTAACCATCTTTCCAGGTCTGCATTAAAATTTCTGCAGTGTTTCTGCAGTGTTATAGAAAGATTAAAAATGGGTGAAGAGGGCTGGAGAGATGGCTCAGTGGTTAAGAGCACTGGCTGTTCTTGCAAAAGACCCAGGTTCAAATCCCAGCAACCACATGGCAGCTAACAACCATCCTTGAACTCCAGTTCCAGAGGATCTGATGCCCTCTTCTGCCCTGCGTGGGCACTGCACATCATGGGTGCACTTTACATACATGCAGGTATAACACTCATACACACTGGAAAAAAAAAGCTGGGTGTGGTGGCATAAGCCTTTGATCCCAGCACTCAGGAGGCAGAGGCAGGCAGATCTCTCTGAGTTTGAGGCCACCCTGGTCTCCATAGTAAATGCAGGACAGATGGGGCTACAGAGAGACCCTGTCTCAAAAAGACCAAAAAAATAAAAAATAAAATAAAAAAACAGGCGAAGACAACTGAGTCCCAATAAAGAGCTTTTCAGAATAGGAAGATCTTGAATAACTGGAAAAAAAGATGTAGAAGAACAATAGCCCTGGCGGTGGAGGGAGGGACTTCAGTTAAAGAAATTTGGCAACTAGTGCAGAGTCAAAGCACCATCACCTCTTTTTTGAGGCAAGGTATCACTCTTAAGCTTGGGCTGATCTTGAACTCAGTAATCCTCCTGTCTCAGGCTCTCAGATGCTGAGATTACAGATGTGAGCCACCATGCCCAGCAAAAGTACTAGGTTTCTAATTGCGCAGCTACTGCCATTTTGCTAAACGGACATGATGTGCCCATCAAATGACCTTCTAAGTAGTTGTTTATAACCAAAGATTAGTGTTGCTGTCAGCTTTGATCAGAGAAGCTTCTTTTTATAGTGGTCAGTGGCAACTGCAGAGACACATAACTGAATCATTTCAGAAGAAATGATTACTGAATGTTCAGTCATAAAGGGGACGTGTCTATCATCTTCTCCAAGGAAGAAGGGGGCAGAAAGAATGTAAGAGCGAGAGGAATGGGTCAGGGATTGTTGTGAAACATGGATTTCTGGGTATGACATAGCTGCTATATATATCTTGAACTCACTGCAGCTGTGTGATTATCTGCGTAACATCTGCACAAGTTAGGAACCCCCAATATCTTCTCATGGAAGGGTGGGAGGGGATCATAGGCCTTAACCATCCCTTTCTGAGAATTTACATGTTGTAAGTGGTTGTTGGGGAGGAAGAGACATTTTCTTCAGTGGTATAGGCACTGGTAAGGTGCCCAGGCTCCTTTAAGCAACCTTAATGAAACTTACTGGATCACATACACACAAATAAGAAAGCAGAAGGGGCATTGTTAAGAAGAGGAAGGGGATGAGAGAGAAGAGAGGGACAAGAAAGGGTGACGGTGGGTGGTGATATGATCTAAATACACTATGCTCATGCATCACTGTCATTAAAACCTATTACTATGTATAACTAACATATGCTAATAAAACACTATTTTAAAAAAGTATTTGAAAAGAGGTTCATTTTCCTGTGAGCTCAAGCAACAAAAATGGGAGGTATCTATGAGAATCTAGAGACATGATGACATTAAAAGAAAAAGGTGTTCCTGAGAGCACAAATGAATTCCACAAATTTGATTGAAAGAAGTAAGAATGAAGTAGACAGGAATGTAACTGGAAGGTTGAAGAGAGAAAATTTAGGACCAGGAAGAGAAATAGCAAGATATGTATGGTTGCTAGGCTAGTGATATACTGGTTAGTAAAAGCTAGACAGCTAAACCTAGCACAATCCAAAGTGACATAGTTGTTCCAAGCTGACCATGTAATCCTTTAGGGTACAAACTGCTTTTCTAATTAAAATAGATTTTTTTTTTGAGACAGGTCTCACTGTGTAGCCCTGGATGACCTAAAACTTGCTATGTAGATCAGGCTGGCTTCGAACTCAGAGATCCACCTGCCTCTGCCTCCTGAGTACTGGGATTAAAGCCCCACTGAGTCTGGTCTTTCATAAAAAATTATTTTTGTTTTTTGAGACAGGGTCTCACTGTATAGCTCTGGATGGCCTGAAACCTGCTAAGTAGACAAGACTGGCCTCTGACTCACAGAGATATACCTGCCTCTGCTTTCCTAATTTTTATCTAGTAATTCTTTCTGTAACATTTTTGTAGCCATAGTGGCAAAAGAATAGTACAGGCCTATATAATGGGAAACTGGAAGGAAGAAGAACTCTACTCCTCCACTAGAAAAGTGGGATGAGTACTACACCCAATTCATTTATCATATAAGGCTTTCAAGTAATGACTGTCCTAAATAATTCTATACAGATTAACACTAAAATATAATGTGCTAAGCCTGGACCAATTATAATGGAAGATGTCAAATAAGTACAAAATTAGTATGGAGTAAGGAAGAGAATAAGAATAAATCAACTTTACTCTGACATGATATACACAATATATGATATATATCCATTATTTAGGACTGGACTTCCTTTTAGTTTTAAAAAATATTTGGATATAAGCCTAAGTGGCACATGCAGGATGAAAACTCTACACCTAAGAACTCACAGAACATAGAACAAGGGATGAAGAGAACACTAATGCATCTTTCTCATCTAATTCTTATCAACGAAGTTCTCTTATGCAACAGAGGGTCAGAACACAGAAGGCCACAAATGGCCAAAATGGAGGGAATAAGAGTCTGCAGAGTGTGGGTCTTTGGACAAGTCTCCTATATTAAGGTCCATCCTCCCAGGGCTCAGGGGCCATTGTGGAAGAGGAGGTGGAAGGATTGATTGTAAGAGCAAGGGAGGAGGTACACAACCATACGGAAACAGTCCTACAAGTGCCTGGGAACCTTCTCATACAAACCTACAGCAATGGTGTCAGCATGCACAAGAACCATGCAAACTCAGGCAGAGGAAAACGAAGCACAGAACTGTGGAAATGAACAGCAAGCAGGGTCTGCCTGTAGCCCCAGCTGGCCTGGAACTCACTATGTAGACCAGGCTGGTCTTGAACTCAGAAATTTACCTGCCTCTACCTCAGGGGGCTGGCTTGAGCTGATCTTCTTGACGAGAGAGACTTTAGATAGGCTGATAAACCTGGGTGGAAGAACTTGTACTTAGGGACACCTCAGGACAATAACTTTACATAATAAGCCTTAATACAAATGACAGAATGTATGAACGCCAGTGGGGGGGGGTGGCTATGGGAGGGTGCCAAAGGAGAAGGGACAAGAGGATATAAAGATGGTTTTATATATGAAATATACAAAAATTCAATTAAAAAAAACTTGGTTATCACAATTGATATAAATTTTAGTATCAGTTTGCCTTGCCAATTTCTTTTTTCTTTTTTTGGTCTTTTGAGACAGGGTCTCTCTGAAGTCCCAGCTGGCCTGGAACTCACTATATAGACCAGGCTGGCCTTGAACTTGGAGCTCTGCCTGCCTGTGCCACCAGAGTGCTGGGATTAAAGGCATGTGCCACCACGCCTGGCTAGTTTGCCAATTTCTAAACTAATGTCTGTTCATATTTTAACTAGGATTGTGTGGAAGCTAGAAATCAATTTGGTAAGAATTAACAACTAAATAAATTGGGTCTTCTAACACGTTATATGACACTTTTAGAGCTCTTCTGGAAGGTAAACTAATCAGAAAGTAATATACAACTATGTATAATCACATTTTTTGCCCCCACTTCACTGAGAGGTACTGAATACCCATCACAGGCCAGGCCGTATTCCAGGCATCAGGTATAAATCAATGAACAAAACAAAATCTCTTCTCTTACAAAATCTGCATTCTTGTGGGGGTGAGAGACAATAAAGAAGCGGGTGAGATGGATTTAGGGTACAGAGAGTATTAAGTAGACTGGGGACATGTTGGTTATATAAAGTGGTCACAATGAGAACTTCTCTTAAAAGGGTATATTTGAAACCATTAAAAAGGTATTTGTGGTATGAATATTCCAAAGAGGAAAGGGCAAGTATGGGGATGCTGGAGGGGAAGCATGCTTGTCTTGTTGCAGAAACAGTAGAGACCAGTCGGGAGGACAAGAGTAAGCCATGTTTTTCTGTTTAAATTTCTGGCAGGGATTTTTCTTCTCAACATCTTTTTTGGTTTTTTTTGGAGGTCTTTTTGAGACAGGGTCTCCCTGTAGCCCCAGCTGGCCTGGAGCTCGATTTGTAGGCCAGGCTGGACTTGAACTCATAGAGACCTGCCTGCCTCTGCCTCCTGAGTGCTGGGACTAAAGGTGTGTGACACCACACCTGGCTGAACATCATCTTTTAGATTTAAGTAGATGAAGATTCTGACTTTGTTGAAAGGCTGAGATTATTTTGTTAGTAGATATGTAAGATGTTACTGAATAAGGTTTGCTGTGATAAGCAGTTTGGCTGAACTGCTTGTAAATTATTTCCTAGTTTTGCTTATTTGTTGCAAGTGATCTTGCAGTTAGTACATACATAGCTGCTAGTATATATATGTGTGTGTGTGTGTATGTTTTTACATTTTTGTTCCAATTTTCTAATGTAAAAGTAGCACAGTTGCTATGGGAAAGAATACTAGAGTCAGAATTCTTTTTAAAAATATTTTATTTAGCCAGTCATGGTGGCGCATGACTTTAATCCCAACACTTACTTGGGAGGCAGAGGCAGGCAAAGCTCTGTGAGTTCAAGGCCAGCCTGGTCTACATAGTGAGTTCCAGGACAGCTGGGGCTATAGGGAGACCCTGTCTCAAAAAGACCAAAAAAGTTTTTTATTTATTATTTTTACTTTATGTGTATCAGTGTATTGCCTGCATATAAGTGCACATGTTTTGTGCTATGGATGTTGGGAACTGAAACCCAGGTCCTCTGCAAGAGCACTCAGTGCTCTTAATAGCTGATCCATCTCTCTAGCCCCTGCTGATCCATTTCTCCAGAATTCTTAAGTTAAAGTATTTTTGCTAAATATGTGAATTTATACAAGTTACTTAAAAGCCTATTTCCTGCCAGATGTGGTGGTGCATACCTTTAATCCCAGTATTCAGGAGGCAGAGGCAGACAGATCTCTGTAAGACTGAAGCAAGCCTGGTCTCCAGGTAAGCTAGGACAACAGGGAGACCTTGTCTCAAAACAAAAACAAAGAAAAAGTCTGTTTCCTTATCTGTAAAAAGAAAATGAAAATACTACTTTATAACATTTTAAAAGATTAAATGACATGATTCATGTATGTTGAAGCAATTTCCACACTAATTTAAAACTTTTTAAACTACCCACAGAGCTTTCAAATTTATACTTTATTGTTTGTTTTTTCATCTAAGTGCTTTTGAAATTTGCTTTTTATTGTTTTGTAACACTGGGATTTGAACTTAAAGAGTTTTGTGTATGTCATGCGGGTACTCTACTACCACATTACAGCTGCGTCCCTTAATTTTAGTTTTTGATTTACCTATTTGTACTTAAGAGTTGTATACAAAAACCTTTTTTTTTTTGAGTCAATTCATTTTAACCTATATAAATTTTATAACATTTATCTTTTAAAAAAATTTTTTTTTTTTTGTCTTTTTTGGGCAGGGTCTCCCTTTAAGCCCAGCCTGCCCTGAAGTCACTATGTAGACCAGGCTGGCCTTGAACTTACAGAGATCCACCTGCTTCTGCCTCCCAAGTGCTGAGATTAAAGGCGTGCGCCACCATGCTCGGCCTATAACATTGATCTTTTAAGTTACATAGTAAAATTTAGTAGATATACACATTTCAACTTGAAATCCTCAGGAATCAGAATGTAGATTTTCATCTCAACTTTGTTAACTGAACATTTTGTAATAGAAAATAAGGGTATATAAGAGAATATAATTCAAAAGGACAAATAATAATCATATATTTTCATGAACATTAATGACTTCTTATCTTTTGGCCTGCTTTTGTTTTCTGAGCCTCTACTGCTTAGGTAAATCGCTGAGAGCTAAACATAGATTTTCAATTGTATATGTCTCATCACTTAATACACTTCTTGCATGTTTTGAAGACTGCAGCAGAGAAAGACTTTTTTTTTTTAAAAAAAAATATGCTAGTTCTAATTACTGCCCTTTTACTGCTTCATAAAAATCAAAAACACAATCCATAAGAGGTATTTCAGGGCCTTTAAAGTATTCTCAATGGTTAAAAAAAAAAAAAAGTATTCTCAATAGTTTTCAAAAGTAGTTTATAAGAAGTTTAACAGAACAGAACTTACTCCATGCCCTGTGCAGTCTGCCGTGCAATATCTATAAGTTTGATCATCTCAAATTTGGTCTCAATGATATGGAGATGGTGATACAAGCTGGAGCCTTCACACCACTGCGTAACAATAGCCAGTTGTGGCTTTGTTGAATAGCCCATGAAAAGTAGGATATTCACATGTCGTGTTTTCCTGTAAAAAAGAAACGTGACAGTAAATAAATTCTTTAAAAATGAGAGGCAAATCAGCCTACTAGTAAAATGCTATCAGTAAACGGTACCAGAAATAAAAAAGAAGAAAACAAAAAAAGGTTAATTTAAAAAAGATCTGGCATTATCCAGTCTAACATCTAATTCTATTCAGAAATAAGTTATTTAAATATATATATATCTATATATATATATCTATATATATCTAATAAGCAAATAATAGAGGTTGCTTAAATTTACCACTTGAGGCTACAAACACCCTCTATCCCTTTGTCTAAGTGGTTCTAAATGTACTAGGAATTTTTCCTATGGGGAAACAAAATTATTTTCCTCTACCCTCCACAAATGGCTTCCCTATTCTGCTCTCTCCAGTAAGAACTTTAGTCTTTGTACCCTCTAGACACAAACAGCCTTCTCTGGATTAAATTTCCTCAGTCCTGTTGACCACTTCCTCCTAAATTATAACTCCAGAGTCTTTTCCTATCTCAGTCTCCTTACTGTGGGCTTACTCTCACTTGTCAATGCTCCCCAAGTCCTAGGGTCCAGGACTAAATAAAATCTTTGTGTGGTGGCACACACCTTTAGTCCTAGCACTCAGGAGGCGAAGGCAGGTGGATCTCTGTGAATTCAAAGCCAGCCTGGTCTACATAGTGAGTTCCAGGACAGCTGGGGCTACAAGAACTTTTTGTCTCAAAAAGACCAGGAAGAAAACAAAGTCATTTAGAAATTTGAGTATTACTTCCTCAAATGGAACTATTATACATGATCAGAACCCTGAATTTCCATTAATTCAGTCTAGGATTATGTCTTCTATTACTGGAACCAAAGAATATTGCACACTGGGAAAGGAATATAAACACAAATTATAATCTTTTTTTTCTTTTTGTCTTTTGAGACAGGGTCTCCCTGTAGCCCCAGTTGGCCTGTAACTCACTATGTAGACCAGGCCGGCCTTGAACTCAGAGATCTGCCTGCCTCTGCCTCCCAAGTGCTGGGACTAAAGGTGTGTGCCATCATGCCCGGTTGTAATTAGACGTATTATATTCCTCTACTTTGAAAGAACCCACTGGAAAATGAGCTAAAGAAATACCTTCTCTGGAAAACTGCAATTTACAAGCTTACCTGAGTACTCCTACTTCATTTTTGAAGGCTTGTAGCTGTTGAGGTGTGGGTGCCGTCACATTCAACATTTTCACTGCCACATCACCTAAGAGGAAATTGTTATTCCAAATTAAAAAAAAAATTAAAATATGCAACATTCTCAAGTGTTTTAAATAATTGTCAAAGCCTTTAATTCATACTAAATACATATAAATTGTAAATATATTTAACTACCTAAACTGTATTAATTTTCTTTTCTTTTTATACACACCATGGGCCCATATCCCCCACCTTACAAAGCAATTAACAATGATATTCCTATACTACTATTTCAAAATACCAAACCAAAAAATAGCCAACTTTGTTTTCCTCTGGAAATTTAGGTTAGCTAATTACTACCCAAAGTATTTTCCTGATTATTTAACAATATATTAAATGAAGTGTTATTTACTAAATGAATGCTGAAACTATGGATAAGAAGCTCAATGTAGCTTAAAATAGAAAACTGTAGGGAATGGAGAGATGGCTCAGCCCTTAGAGGCACTGGCTGCTGCCAGGTGTGGTGGTGCACACCTTTTAATCCCAGCCAGCCTGGTCTACATAGAGGGCTCCATGGCAGCTGGGGCTACAGGGAGACCCTGTCTCAAAATAAAAATTCCAAAATAAGAAAACAAACAAACAAACAAACAACTGAGAAAGACAATCGCAAACTTACTTATCAGAGTAGTTTTATTTTCAAAGTTATGAATTACTTATAGCATTGATTGTAAAATTGTTATTTATAACTATAAATTTTTTGTCTTTTTGAGACAGGGTGTTCCTGTAGCCCTAGCTGGCCTGGAACTCACTATACAGACCAGGCTGGCCTCAGTCTCACAGAGATCTGTCTGCCTCTGCCTCCTGAGTGTTGGGATGAAAAGGCATGCTCCACCATACCTGACAAAATTATAACAATAATTTAAATAAAACATGTGAATCAGCTGTAACTCTCATACAGTCCTAGCAGATGTGTAAATTGGTACAATCACTTGGCAACATTGCTGGCAGTAGCCATAAAACTTCAAATATGCATATGATGTGGTCCCATCTTTCTCTCCTAGGCACATAGTCAGTAAAAATGTACATGTATGTTCCTCAAAAGGCACATACTAAAAATATTCATAGCAAAACCATTCAGAAAAGCACCAAACTAGAAACTGCCCAAATGTTCATTATATAGCAGATAGAGAAATCAGGACACAGTCACACAATGGAATACCATACAGCGGATGAATGACTCATAGCTACACCCAACAATACAGATGAATTTTACAACGTTGAGAGAAAGGAGCCAGACACAAAAGATGACACACTGCTTACATCCTATGGAGGTCAAAACATGGCTGAGTGAATGAAGACAGCACATGAGGGGGCTCCTAGAAGGCTGATAATGTTCTATTGATCACAAATGTATTCACTTTGAGTTTCATCTACTTATATACATAGACATTTTAGTATACATTATACCTTATATATATTGATCTTTCCCCCAACTTTCAAAGTAATAGAGCATTCATTCTATTAGTTTTGCCACAGGATATTGTGTACTATCTAAAGTAAATATTTAATAACATTTTAAAAGCATAAAGAAAAAAATTTTCTGTAATCACCCTTATCAAACTGATATATATTTATATATCTCTCTATCTATTCTACTAGGTTTATATATGTATGCGGTATCCACTTTTTTTTTTGTCTTTTTGAGACAGGGTCTCCCTGTAGCCCCAGCTGTTCTGGAACTCACTATATAGAACAGGCTGGCCTTGAACTCACAAAGATCCGCCTGCCTTTGCCTCCCGAGTGCTGGGATTAAAGGTGTGCACCACCAGGCCTGGCCGGTATGCAGTATTCTTATGATAAATTAGGCTAAAATTCTGAAATAAATATATATTATCACATATATTTCTGTGCAGATCTATAATATGAAAATATATATGTTGCTCCATACCTTCATAAATCAAAAATATCTTTGCATAGCAATAAATATGGTCCTATTAACAACTTAAACTATATAATCACATACGGAGGCCTCAATGTGTTGACCCAATTTTCTACTAATGGGTACCTAACGTTATTTTCATTTTTCATCATTACTATACCTTTGATGAGTACACTTTCTCCACATCTGCTCATTCTTGTCCAACTACTTCCTCAGGATAATGTTCTACAAGTGGAACTGCCGGCTCAATGTATATAAGGCCAAATTATCATCCAGAATGCTTGTAGCAATTTATTTTCCTACCACCAGAATTTTAATCACAACTCTAAACATAATCAATTTAATATTTGTCGCTGGGTGTGATGGTGCACACCTTTAATCCTAGCACTCAGGAGGTAGAAGCAGGCGGATCTCTGTGAGTTCAAAGCCAGCCTGGTCTACATAGTGAGTTCCAGGGCAGCTGGGGCTACAGGGAGACCCTGTCTCAAAAAGACCAAAAAAAAAAAAAATTGTCTGCTGGGTATGGTGGCACATGCCTTTAAACTGAGCACTTGGGAGGCAGAGGCAATCAGATCTCTTCTGAGTTTGAGGCCAGCCTGGTCTACACAGAGTTCTAGACAAGCCAGGGCTACATAATTAGATCCTGTCTCAAAGCAACTACAAAACAAAACAAAATTGTCCATTTAGAGGAAAATCCTAATTTCTATCTTTTGAATTTGTAATTCTTAGAAAACTGGTGAGGCTTAACATTTTTTTTTTTTTTTTTTTTTTTTTTTTTTTTTTTTTTTTTTTTTTTTTTTTAAGGAAAAAACCTCTAGGGTTTTTTTCTTTTGGGGAAGGTCCCTCAGTATAGGGCACTCACAGTTCAGGAAGATAATCAGTCCACTTCTTTCCTTCTGTGCCACCATGCATGGCTGAGGCTTAATATTTTTAATGTTTACTGGCCATTAAAATTTCTTTCTTTGCTAATATATTCTCAATGTTTGTGATTTAAAATAGCCACAAAATTATCAGAAGAAATACTAAAATTAAAAAAAAAAATCACTTCAGGACTAGATAACCTGGAAGATCTTCATCTTTACAAATTACTACTGTAGGGCTGGAGAGATGGCTCAGCTGTTAAGAACACTGACTGTTCTTGCAGAAGACCAGCTACCGACTGTCCTAACTCCAGTTCCGGGGGATCTGACGCTCACTTCTGGCCTCCGCAGGCACTGCATGACACAGATGCACTTAACACACATTCAGGCAATACACTCATACACACAAAATAAACAGAAAATAAAATATTTAAAACAAAACAAAACCCAAATTACTACTGTAAAAAGTAGTGATAGGAATCTCAGTTACTGTGAATCCAGTTTTTATGTTCTACAGTTTTTGTTAGAATCCTTTGGAGGATTCCTGTATCTGATGAAAACAGTTTAATGATGTGAATAGTGAATATTTTCTTTCTTTTTTGGGGGGTCACTGTTTGTTTTTGAGACAGTCTCTTGCTGCTTAGGCTAGCCCTGAACTCTCTATGCAGTTAAGGATGACTTTGAACTACTGATCCTGATCCTCAAGCATCTACCTCCCAAATATTTAAACATATCCTCTTATTTTGTGCCAAAGGCTCTATATTAAATACATACCATGCCACTTTCCTTTGTAGACAGTTCCAAATGACCCAGATCCAATTCTCTGTCCCACTGTAATCTGTCCATCAGGAATCTCCCAATCATCACTTGAATCTCGTCTACCAAGTGTTTTCTCGATAAAAACAGTGTAAAAGTCAAGTCAAACCAATCAAAAAAGGAAAACATTTCATGCTAAGTATATTGACCTGCCTGACAGGAAGTTATGAAGAATAAGGTCTCCTTAAAAAACAAAACCAAAAAACCATCACCACACTGAAGGAACAATAGTTAAAACTATGAGTTTTTCTAGTTACTCTTTTCCAGCTGCTGTTAGACTTCAGTAGGACAAAGGCAGCAGGAAGTTAATTTTCAAACGGAGAAGAATGTCATTTGGTAGATATCTGAATTCTAAATCAACCTTTAGAGCATTTATTCTTAATCATACTTTCTAAATACTCGCTTATTCTTTCTTATTTATTTTATTTTATTTATTTATTTATTTGGTCTTTTTTGAGATAGGGTCTCCCTATAGCCCCAGCTGTCCTGGAACTCACTATGTAGACCAGGCTGGCCTTGAACTCACAGAGATCTGCCTGCCTCTGCCTCCCGTGTTTTAAATATTTTATTTTATTTATTTTATTTTTGGTCTTTTTGAGACAGGGCCTCCCTATTGCCACAGCTGGCCTGGATTCACTATGGAGACCAGGCTGGTCTCAAACTCAGAGAGATCCACCTACCTCTGCCTCCCAAGCGCTAGACTAAAGGCATGTGCCACCACGCTCAGCTTATTATTTTTATGCTTATGAATGTATTATGTGCATGTATGTAAGTGCACCTGTGTCATGCAATGCCTGCAGAGGTCAGAAGAGGTGTTGGATCCTCTAGAACTAGAGTTACAGACAATTGTTAGCTGCCGTGTGGGTGCTGGGAATTGAACCTGGGTCCTCTGCAAGAGCAGCCAGTGCTCTTAGCTACTGAGCCATCTCTCCAGCTCCTCTTATTTTAGAAACAGAATGGCATTACTTCTTTTTCCAAACAGCCTTTTACAAAGTTAAATTAGAGAGGAAAGCAAAAAATCAGTTTTGTGCACTTCATAGGATAGAGCCCATACCTGACATTGATATCAAGCTTAGGAACCTGAGGCTAGACAGGTCACAGGACATAGGGGAGGGACTAATACTAGTTTTCTACTAAGTAGTTAGTGTAGTAAACTCTTCAAAAAAATTTTTTTTTAGTTATTTTTATTTTATGTGTATGAGTGTATTGCTTCCATGTATATAAGTGAATTAGGGCAGTTGTTAGCTGACATGTGGGAACTGGGAACCAAACCTGGGTCCTTTGCAAAATCCATCTGAGCCATCTCTCCAGTCCCTAAACTGATTCTTAATGATTTATTGTCGTACACAAAGATTAATGCATCTATCTCAACTCTCACCAGAGAAGTTTCCTTATGCAGCAGATGCTGATTAACAAAGAAACCCACAGTTGGCCTGTTGGCAGAACAAGAGATTGGAGAGTGCTTATCCTTGAACAGAACATCTATATGAAACTTCTGCCTCCCAAGCCTCAGGGATCATTGTGAAGAGGGGGCAGAAAGGCTGTAAGAGCCAGAGGTGGTGGATGACCACAAGGAAAAAGAGTTTTCCAGAGAGCTGGCCAGTTATTCATATGAATTCACAGCAATGGTGACAGCATACACAAGTCCCATGAAAGCGCAAACAAGACAAAATCCCACAATACATCTAACTGAAGGAAATTTTGGCAACTGATGGCTGCTGGGAGGGAGAGAAACAGCCTCTTTCAAGGATGGGACTCTTGGTAGGTATCTAGGCATCAGTGGATAGACCCATACTGAAGGACATTTGTGGACACAAAATAGACTCTATAAGATTTATTTTATATATATACTCTAATATATATATTAGAGTATATTAAATTGGATGGGAGTCAGAAAGGGGAGGGAATCTAAACACCATCAAATCATAGTGTATGAAAATCACAAAAATTCAATTAAAATGATTTAAAAATCAGTTTTGCGGGAACATGCTTTATGCAAAGAACCAGTAATGCTTAAATTTATTTGACTGGTAATTTTGCATCACATATATACCTAATATATTCAAAAGGTGCAGTTACATTTGGCTATGATTTCTAAAAACAAAGAACTTAGAAAAAAAAGACATCATTTATTCTTACCATTCGATTTCTATCTTCTGAGGATGAAGATGATTTCCTTTCCCGCTGAGGTCCTGGAGATTTCTGTAAGGCTTTCACATTAGTGAGGGAGCCAGGTAATGAGGCAGGTGGGGTGGCAGACAAACCTGTGGTTGACCCTAAATTAGAGAAAGGGGAAATTATTCACATAAGGAGGAGCAAGCATGTTCATTTAGCAGGGGCAGAGAGTGGGGAGACCTAGACTTACTTCTAAAATGAAGTGCATGTCCAAATTCTGATCTTTTAGAGTACAGGCCAAAAAGAGGTCTTATTGTGATTAGTACTATAATTTCTTTTAGCTTTCTGACTAATTTAATGATCTTTAAGATAATGAATGACACATACTCTGATGGTGAGAGGTCTAGAAAAACACAATCTCTAAACCAAGCAACAATTTCGTAAAAAAAAAAAATACTCCCAAATTCCTGTCCAAAAATCAATGCAAAAGTCTACGAAACACTGTCTTGTTATTACCTCAATAGCTTTGATATTTTGAGAAGATGCAAACCTCAAAATGGAAATACTTTCTAATGGGCTTAATGTTAAAAATATTTCTTCCACATTAGTTCTAAATTTAACTACGATCCCAAACTAAAAGCTTTATTTATTTATTTATTTATTTATTTATTTATTTATTTATTTAT